CACAGGGTCCAGCCGTACATGGCTCCGTACTCAAACTCGTAGGCCTGGTTCTGGAGACAGGTTCAGACAGGTTCTGTTCAGCTCAGGACTTGTTCTAGTTTAACTTTTCACTGAGTCATTGTGTGACTCAGTTCAGTCAGCAGGACTGATGTACTTCTATAAAAGTCAACACGCTTTGTGGTCACTGTGGTGAGTTTGTGTATCCGTCGTCATTTTGTTTCTCTTTGGCGACATTTTGCATTTTCAGGTCTTTGCGCTCATGTTGTGTCTCTTTATGGTCGTTTTGTGTCATTGTGTGTCTCTTTGGTGTCTTTTTGTGTCATTGTGTGTCTCTTTGGTGTCTTTTTGTGTAATTCTGTCTCTTTGTGGTCATTTTCTGTCCATTTATGTTTCTTTGTTTTCTTTTTGTTTTGTGCCTTTTTGAGGTCATTTTGTGTGTCTGTGATGACATTTTTTGCTATTTTCGTGTCATTTGTGTGTCTTTGTTGTGGTTTTGTGTCTTGTTGATGTAATTCTGTGTATTTTTGTGTCTCTATGGTGTCATTTTGCATCTCTTTCTGGTTCCTTTGTCTGTCTCTCATATAATTTTGTCCCTTTACAGTCAGTTTGCGTAATTTTGCGTCTCTTTTTTTTTTCCATTTATGTCTCTTTGATGTCATTTTGTGTCCACTTGTTTCTTTGCAGCGGTTTTGTGTCTCGTAGGTGTAATTTTGGGTAGTTGTGTGTCTTTGTGGTCATTTTGTGTCTCTTTAAAGTCATTTTCCATTGTTTTCGTGTCATTTGTGTGTCTTTGTTGTTGTTTTGTGTCTCTTTAAGGTCAGTTTGTGATTATTTTGTGGTGGTTTTGCATCTCTTTGGTGTGATGTAGTGCCTCTTTGTGGTCATTTTTTGTCTCTTTGAGGCCAATTTTGTGTCCATTTATGTTTCTTCGCAGTGGTTTTGTGTCTCTTTGGTGTCGTTTTGTGGTCTTTTTGCGTCCCTTTGGTGTTATTTTGTGTCCCTTTGACTTGCTGGGACCATTTTGTGTTGATTTATGTTTCTTCGCAGTGGTTTTGTGTCATTTTGTGTCTCTCTGGTGTCTCTTTGTGGTCACTGACTCTATTCTATCAGAGCATCATGAAGGTTTCCAGCAGTTTGTACTGCAGCAGTTCTTCTGTTGAGCTCAGACCACTCGGTCCAGCTTTCCCTGATCTTTGTGCATCCATGTCTCCGGTTCTCCTCCTTTGAACACTTCTGCCGAGTTCTAACCGCTGCATTTCTACACAACACTAGTAACAGAACAACGTCCCGTCTAAACAGATGGTTAGTGACCCGGTGCTGCAGCTGATGCCGCCACAAACCTGCTTGACGTATTTTCTCTCTGCAGCGGAGCGAGCGAGCGTCATGCGAATGGTGTACAGCAGTAACCCTGGCAACCGCAGCAACTCCATCCCAGAGCCCACCAGGGCCGCTGCGATCACGTAGTTGACGAAGAAAGCCCCTTGGTCAGGTAAAAACACACACCTGGCGTAAGGAAAGGAAGGGAAGCCGACAGAGAGAAAAAAAACAGGACGACGGTTGAGCTGGTGCAGAATTAAGAGGATGAAGATTCTGCTCTAAGATGTTTTGTGTTGTGTTTGTGTCAAATCTGTCAGACAAACTGTGAAATATGAAGCTACAGCAACAAGCCACAACATTAAAACCAGCCGACCAACACTGTGCAGGTGCTCCTCTCTGATTGGTCGAGGACGTCACAGACTCTGAAGGTGTCGACATCAGCAGCACATCCTTACGTCTTCATGTTCCTCAAATCATTTTGTGTAATTTTGTGTCTCTTTGAGGTAGTTTTTTTCATCTAATTGTAGTTTCTTTGCGTCCCTTTGGTGTCATTATGTGTCTCTGTGTCTATTTTGTGTGTCTCTGGTGACATTTCGTGTCTCTTCGGGCTCATTTTGTGTTTCTTTGGCCACGTTTCTTTGTCTTGGGTGTCATTTTCTGTCTCTTGTGGTCATTTTGTGTCTCTTTCTGTGTTTCTTTATGGTCATTTTGCGTAATTCTCCATCTCTTTGTCGACATTTTGTGTAATTTTGTGTCTGTTTGAGGTAATTTTTCATCTTGCTGTAGTTTCTTTGCGTCTCTCGGTGTCTAGATTGTGTCTCTTTGGTGTCGTTTTCTGTCATTTCGTGCCTCTTGTGATCACGTTTTCACTCTTTATGATCATTTTATCTCTCTTAATGGTCATTTTTTTTTGTCTCTTTGGTGTCATCTCTTTTTTTTTTGAGTCTCCTAGTGATCATTTTGTGTAATGTCGTCATTTTGCGTAATTTTGAGGTCATTTATCATCTTGCTGTAGTTTCTTTGCATCTCATTAGGTGTCTGCATCTATTTTGTGTCTCTTTGGTGTCATTTTCTGTCATTTCGTGTGCGTTGTGGTAATTTTCTCTCTCTTCATGATCATTTTGTCTCTGTTTGTGGTCATTTTGGTGTCATCTGTGTCTTTTTGTGTCTCCTGGTGATCATTTTGTGTCTCTTTCTCTGCTTCTTTATGGTCATTTTCGTGCCTCTTGTGGTCATTTTGTGTAATTTTTCATCTCATTGAGGTCATCAACCATCTCAGTTTATTTTCCTGCTTCAACGCATCATCTTTAGGAACCGACCGTTCACCTGCTGCCTGATGTAGCCCACCTGCTAACAGGAGCCGCGGTAACCAGGTAAATGGTGTTACTCACTTCACCTGTTAGTGGGTTTAATGTTGTGACTGATCAGTGTAAAACAACTCAAATGATTTAGAACATTCTCTCTTACAAGGTAAAGAAGCAAGAAGCAAAAGAGCGGCATTACTTACTCAAACCTCAGCTTCCCATCGGCGAGAAACGTTTTGTCAAACAGCCAACGGAAAAACACGGCGAGACTAAAACAGAAAGACAGACAAATGTTAACAGTGATGTGGACATCCATCGGGAAATTAAATCCAAAAAGTTTGACTTGGCCAAGGCGAAAACATCCCATTACTGTATCTGAGGGAACAATAGGGTTTGTCCTGCATCAAGGTATGTGTGGAGCCTACAAAAAAGGTCTCAGCTTGCACCAAAGGCAAAAAAACCCAGCAAAAAATGATAAAAGTCACTAACAGTAGAAATTCAATTCACAGTTTTATTGTTGCCTTTGATTGAAGCTGAAACTGCTTCAGGAACCATTACAAGTTGGCTGTGCCTATGCATGTATGTGTGTAGATTCTGGGTCAGCTGTTGCTTCACACTGATAGGAGCATGATGTAACGCACGGTGGTGGCAGCATCATGATGTGAAATTACCTGGTGAGTCCCAGCGAGGGGAGGATGAGCACCATGAAGAGCAGGAAGAAGTACAACTTCCGCATCATGCTCAGCTGCTCGCGGGACCTGAGACGCAGCAGAACAAACTATTTACGTCCGGTGACAGAAGCTAATCACCAATCAAACTTTACCTGCTGTGTGTTTATGTGCTACCTGCTCCAGTGAGCCTCTCCCAGTGTAGAATAATACACGATAGTGGGCAGCAGAGCAGAGAAGGACCACAGCAGCAGTGTTGGGAAGAACTGACTGATGATGGGACTCTGGAGATAAAACACAGAAACATGAAGATTCATAGCTCTGAAAACAAAACTGTGGTGTTTACGCTGCCCATGAGAGGTGTTCACCCCCGCTTGGAAGTTTTCCCCTTGTATTACTTTTCAACAGTGAATTATGGTCAATTTAATTACATTTTTTTGACAAGAATTTACAACAACGCCTATGGCTCCTCTGAAGGAGTTACAAGAGCGAGAGTAGTGAGACTCACTAGTCAACTGGAAGAAGGTTCTTTGGTCTGATGAAACCAAAATAGAGCTTTTGTCCATCAGACTAGATGATCTGTTTAGTGGGCACCAAACACAAACACACCATCCCCACTGTAGAGCACGGTGGTGGCAGCATCATGACGCGAAGCACGGTGGTGGCAGCATCATGATGAAGCACGGTGGTGGCAGCATCATGATGAAGCACGGTGGTGGAAGCATCATGATGAAGCACGGTGTTGGCAGCATCATGATGAAGCACGGTGGTGGCAGCATCATGACTCAGTGTTGAAAAGCAACAAAAGGGGAAAACTTCCAAAGAAGGGGAAATCTTTTCATAGCCACTGTGTACGTGTGTGTGTGTGTGTGTGTGTGTGCATGTGTGCGCCTCACATTGAGATAGTAGATGGGCTTGGTCACGTTGAACCTGTCGATGGTGTTTATGATGATGGTGGGAGTCGTGAGGAAGGTGAGCAGGAAGAACAGGAAGAAGTTTAGCATCACGTAGCGCAAGTACCAGGAAAACCCGCTAACGGAGAGGTTGTCCCTGTGGAGGACGAAACAGAGGAAACGGGACAGTTACACACTGGCATGGCAAATTCATTTTACTTTAAGTACCAACTGTTGCATGCAGTACGCACACAATGGGGATGCACTACTTTGTTATAACAACGCGGCTTGATCGTTGCAAAACTTTCAGCTGCTTGTTTGCACTCCTGTAGGACGCCATGCTTTACTGACACAACTGTGCAGAGGATTGTGGTTCAGAACACACATAAAGGTATAAAATAAAACCAAATGTTTAGTATAGTACATTTGACATGACCATGCAGTGGGACTAAATGCTTTAATATCGTACACAGTTGTCTAATGTCACGTTAAATGCCAAAAACTGTCGATCACGTTTATTTAATTGTGGGAATCGTGACTGCGATTAATACTTCAGTTCAATACGACGACCCACAACACAAAAGCAAAAAAAAAAGACCTTATTAAATTGCAGCTTAATTGGAATCATTCACAAACTCTGCAGAGTAACGTGATTCCTCTTGATGATAATATTGAATCACTGCTGGCACCGGCGCCATCATGAACTCATGTGACGTGCTCTTGCTTCAGGTCTCACCAGTACACATTTTTGGGATGCGGCGCGAAGCTGACCCGCCACTTGTTCACCCTCAGAGCTTTGCTGTTGGACGAAGGCTGAGGTTCCCTCCCGCAGCAGCAGCAGCTCGTACCGCCACACTCCAGCGCGTTGAAGTCTTTTAAAATGCTGCGGCGGAGAAACGAGAGCCGTTAGTGACACACATTAAACAGCGCTGGCCAAAGGCGTCTTTCCACTATAAAGTCATGCGGCGACAATAAAACTGAGAGATAAGAGGCCTGAAATAGTCAACAAGGCTGTTGCTACTAGACACAGAACAGTTGTGTTCGTGTCACGGCAGAGGAGTTTAATGGAAACGGTGGTCATGCATTACCACATACAGTTGAAACCAGAAGCTGTGGTTTCAACACATAAAAGCTTTTTTTCACTATCTGACATTAAATCAGACTAAATTTTTCCTGTTGTAGCTCAGTCAGGATTACCAACATTATTTCTATTTGCTAAACGCCAGAATAATGAGAGACATTTTTTTTTACTACTTTCTTCAACCAAGATGCCTTCAAACTACTTGGGAAAGCCCAGATGATGGAAGCTTGATGGACAGGCTGATACTCACTACTTGGCCATGGCTTCGGTCTGCAGGGTGACGAAGGCGATCCCCAGAGGGTGCTGTGGCACCACTTCTGTCTGCTTCCTCATCTCCTCCAGCAGCTCCCTCTCTTTGCTGCTGTAGAACTCGATGGCATCCACCTGAGGAAGAGCAGCTGACATGGTGTCTTTGTCTCCGGACAGCGATGCAACCTTCGTTTATCTGTTCTTAAAGAGCCGCAGTCTGCACGTTTACGGGTTCATAATGTTATGTTTTGGGTCGTCTACACTACGTTTATCTGCTTGAATGTTCAAAACACAGTTTTCCTCGTCATGTACTTTGCTGCAGCTCCTCTTCTGTCTGAACGGTTAGCTTTAGCGCCCGTCTCTTTAAGGCTGCTGCCTCACTGTGGGTCTCTCAGCAGCTGTTTTCTACCTCTTTGTGGTTGTTTTATGTCTATTTGTGGTTGTTTTCTGCCTCTTTGTGGTTGTTTTGTGTCTATTTGTCATCATTTTTTTCTCCTTGTGGTTGTGTCACTG